CCGCAGCAACAGCAGCACCAGCAGCAGCTCTGGCACCTCCTCCTCCAGCTCCAGCAGTTGCTTCACCGCCTGCAGCAGCACCTTGACCTACAACCGCAGCTGCCTCTTCCTCCTCCCCCAACTTCCCAGCAGAACTCAGTTCCGCATTGTTCCACAAGCTCCGCCACTGCAAGCATCGTCCCACCTTTCTCATCCGTTGGTATCGCTGGTATGGTCAATCAAGCCACATCAACTGCACCTGCCACATACTCCTCTACCACTAACGAAATTGCGTTCCACTCCTCTGTCCCTTCCTCCTCCCTCTCCTCCACTGTCAATTTTGTCCTCGACAGCGGCGCCACTGACACAGTTCTTCGCAATGCTGGCACCTTGCGCCCCCTCCCAACGCCTACCTCCCTCCTTGGCGCCGACAGCAGCTTCTCTATCCCCTGCCATAACACCTCGACTCTCCCCTGCCCACTCTTCCCCTCAGGCACTGTCACCGGTCTCCACATACCCTCTCTTCGCGCTAATCTCCTTTCGCAAAGGTCCCTTCAGCAAGTCGGTATCACCACAGTATTCCCAGCTCATGCTAACTATTGCGCTCTCTACCATTCCGCCACCGGCCAGTTCCTTTCTCGCATTCCCTTTTGTCCACGCTCCCGTCTGTACACCCTTCGGGTTTCTCGCCTCCCCTCCTGTCAGGTCATCTCTTGTCCCCCCCTCCACCCTCTCATCCCACCTCCTCCTCTCCCTCCCACTAACCCGGACCTCCCTTCCTGCCCTCCCCTTGACTCCTTCTGCTCCTGTCGCTCCCTCTCCCACCCTGCCGTCCTCCGCCATCACAGGCTAGGTCACCCTAACTTCGCTACTCTACGCTCCTCTGTTTCCACCGGTCTCCTCCACGGTCTCCCCTCCTCCCTCCCTCCCCTCCCCAAATCCCCTGCCCCCCCCTGCACCGTCTGCGTTCAGAGCAAGCTCAAGCAGCAGCCGCACCGGAGCTCCCCCTCCGCTGCTGCTCAGCCACTTGATCTTGTTCACATGGACGTCTGGGGCCCCAATCCCTCTCCCACTCGCCAGGGCCATCGATACCTCCTCGTACTCGTCGATGATCACAGTCGGTACTCGTCCGTCTCTCTACTTCGGACGAAGGCAGATGCCCCGGCTGCGATCATCGCCTGGCTCGAGCGGGCAAATACCCATTTTGGCGCCCTGTTCGCCGCCTTCACTCTGATGGTGGTGGTGAGTTCCTTAACAATCAAATATCCTCCTATTGTCAGTCTCATGGCATTCTTCAGACTTACACCCTCCCTCACTTCCCACAGCAGAACGGTGTGGCTGAAAGTCGTGTTTGAGAGATCACCTAAACTGTCCGGTGTCTTCTTGTCCACGCCTCCTGCCCTCCTTCTCTATGGGGCTACGCCCTCCTTCATGCCGCCCTCTTTACTAACCTTTACCCTCACCCTCTTCTCCCATCCACCACCCCCACTGAGCTGTGGACGAACAACAAACCTGATGTCTCGTCTCTTCGTGTCAGGGGCTCAAAGGCTTATGTTTTCCTTCACCCCACTGACCGCTCCCGCTCTATGGGAAAGCTTGCCCCTCGTACCCTTCCCTGCATCTTTCTTGGTCATAACTCCTCCTCACCTGACTACCTTTTCCTCCATCCCCCCTCAGGTCGTCTATTCCGCAGTAGGGATGTGGTCTTTGATGAGTCCACTCCCTACTACTCCTCTCCCCCATCCACTGACCCACTCCCCCGTCTTCCCCGTCCCCTTGTCTGGTCTGACACCACCCCTCCCCCACTACTTCCTCCTCCCCCCATCCTCCCTCCCCCCCCCCCCCACCGTCGTCCCCATCCCACGGTGCCCCTCCCTCGTCTGGTGATATATTTGACCCGGAACCTCTGTCCTCTCCCGTCTCCCCCACACATTCCTCTCCTAGTGCCCCTCCCGCCCCTCCTTCACCTCCCTCGCCGCCGACTCGTCCTTCCCCCCTTCCCCGCACCGTACTTACCCGGTACCCCCATACCAGGTCACGTGACAGTATCCTTGGTGCACCGCCCCCTGTTACCCTCTCTACCTCTACCCTCCTCCCACTCTCCCCTCTCCTTCACCACTTCTTCCAGGCTGTTCTGCATCAACCTCCTCCTGCAGCAGCCCCCTCTGCCACCTCTCCAGCAGCGGGACCAGTAGCGGGACCAGCAGCGGCACCAGCAGCGGCACCAGCGGCACCAACGATCATCCGCTCCTTCCACACCTCCCTCTCCGAGGACTCACATGAGGAATTCCTTGACCTCCACCTCTGTGACCCTTCCCTTCTACCCATCACCTTCAACCTTTCTGAGACACCAGTATTCGCATTCTCCTCTGCTCCCTCCGTTTTCATCCCTACCACGTATGAGGAGGCCATGGCTTGCCCCGACGCCCCACTCTGGCTCGCCGCCATTATCAAGGAGCTGGAGGCCTTTGTCGCCAACTCCTCCTTCGTTGATGTGCCTCGCCCTCCCTCCTCTACGAACGTGGTGAAAGGGAAGTGGGTTTTTCGCGTCAAACAGCTGCCAGGGGAGCCGCCCGTCTATAAGGCTCGTTACTGTGCCAAGGGGTTCACGCAGCGGTGTGGTTTTGACTTCTTCGATACCTTCTCTCCCACTGCCAAGCCTGCTACTGTTCGCGCCGTGCTCGACCTCGCCGCTCGCCTCAATATGGAGATCCACTCGATGGACGTCTCTAACGCTTTCCTCTAAGGCATCCTCCGCGAGCTTATCTACATGGAGCCGGTTTTCACCTTCCCTTCCCTGCAGACTCTGTCTGGCAGCTGCGTCGCCCTGTGTATAGGCTTCGACAGGCCCCGAGGGAGTGGCATGCTAAGCTTGCCGCCACCCTTGCTGAACTTGGGTTCCGCACCTCCCGCTCTGACGCCAGCCTCTTCCTCCGCACCTGCCCCTCCCCGTTCTACATCCTTGTATATGTTGATGACATGATTCTGCTCACTGCCGACCTTGGCAAATTGGAGCGTGTTAAGGCTGAGTTGGGCAGCCGTCTCAAATGCAAGGACTTGGGCGAGCTGCAGCATTACCTGGGCATGACCATCACCCGCGACCGCTCCGCCCGCACCATCTCTCTCTCCCAGGGTCATTACTTGCAGCAGGTCTTGGAGCGGTTTGACATGGTCCGCGGTGGCGCCCAACCTACTCCTCTTTCTGTCGGGCACCACCTCTCTCCACCCACCTCCCCCTCAGCCTCCTCCCATCCTTATCCCGAGCTCATCGGCTCCCTCATGTACGCCATGGTCTCCACTCGCCCTGACCTTGCCTACCCCATCAGCGTCCTCGCTCGTTTTGTTGGCGCAGGCAAGCATACGGAACAGCACTGGCAGGCCGCCAAGCGTGTCCTCCGGTACCTTCGTGGCACCAAGAACTATGTCCTTACCCTTGGCGGCCCCTCCCCACCTCTCCTCAGCGGCTACAGTGACTCCTCCTGGGCTGATTCCCGGCCAGATCGTCGCTCCTCCCAGGGCTATGGCTTCTCTCTTGGCAGCGGCCTTATCAGCTGGCGCTCCACCCGCTCCTCGGCTGCAGCCCCCTCCTCCTGCGAGGCGGAATTGTATGCCGCCACCATGGCAGCGCAAGAGGCCCGCTGGCTCACCTTCCTTCTTGAGGAACTTGGTGCCCCCCAGCGCTGTCCCACAATTTGGTGTGACAATGCTAGTACCATTCACCTCACCAAAGATGCTGTGTTTCACGGGCGCTCCAAGCACATTGAGCTCTGTCATTTCTTCATTCGCGATCTTGTTCAGGCGGGGCACCTTCGCCTCGACAAGGTTGACTCGGCGGCCAACCTTGTGGACATCTTCACAAAAGCTCTTCCTCATGCCGCTCACTCTCTCCTACTTCGTCTTCTTGGCCTCACTCCTCCTAAGTCACCTCCCGCCTCTTGATTCTAGCCTTCTAGCCTTATGCATGTTGGGGGGTTGTGTTGTAATTTCATATTTCATACAACATACATATGCTAGAAGTGTAGCACATTCATAAATTGGGGGGTTGCTTAGTGTGCCCTCCAACCACATTTTGTGGTTGGTTGGGATTGGTCCTTAGCTCAATCAATCCCATCCAACACACATTTGTGGTTGCTTGGGTCACAAGCAAGCTCACCCATTGGCCAACTTATTGGCCAATAGGGTAAGCTTTCCTCTCATCTCTCTCTTGCTCATTTTTTTATCTAAAGAGCCTCTTGGCTCATTATTCAATGTATCAATTCTAGCTTTCTAACAGTGTGTTCTTATGGGCATGCATGGATGCTTGGAGCATGATGGGCGTGAGACGCTTGAGGGACGTGAGGGACGTGAGGAGAGTGAGTGGAGTGAGGGGAGTGAGTGGAGTGAGGGGAGTGAGGGGAGTGAGGGGAGCGAGTGGAGTGAGGGGAGCGAGTGGAGTGAGGGGAGCGAGTGGAGTGAGGGGAGCGAGTGGAGTGAGGGGAGCGAGTGGAGTGAGGGGAGCGAGTGGAGTGAGGGGAGCGAGTGGAGTGAGGGGAGCGAGTGGAGTGAGGGGAGCGAGTGGAGTGAGGGGAGCGAGTGGAGTGAGGGGAGCGAGTGGAGTGAGGGGCGTGAGGGACGTGAGGAGGGAAGTGAGGGGAATGAGTGGAGTGAGGGGGCCCAGTGGAGCGAGGGGCGTGAGGGTGGATGCTGGATGTTGGATGGATGGGCAGGGCATCGGCCCCGCTGCCACGTTGCCATGTCTGCATTCCGTTGTCTCACCCATCTCACCAATTCCATCTACTATCCTTCCTCCCACAATTCCATTCCCAACGCCCACCCTGTGCCTCCCTGTGCCCTCTCCCCTCCTCACCCCTGTGCCCTCTCCCCTCCTCACCCCTGTGCCCTCTCCCCTCCTCACCCCTGTGCCCACCCACCAGTGCAGCCAGAAGCGCTATGCGGTGCTCAAGCGGGTGCACCTGCCATTTCTTCCCCTCATGCCAATCACTGCCCCTGCCTCCCCCTCCCTCCCCTGCCATGTTCTGCAGCGCTACCAGCAGCGCTATGCAGTGCTCAAGAGGGTGCAGCTGCCAGAGCCGCTCTCCTACGCCGCCTTCCAGCGCGCTGTCTCCCCGGCCGGCCTCTCTGTACGACCCCACCCCTCCTTACCCCCACTGCCCACTGCATGCTGTCTCCCGTTGCATTCATTGGCACTCCCCCTCGCCTACAAACTGCCTCAGCCACTCTCCTACGCCGCCTTCCAGCGCGCTGTCTCCCCCGCCGGCCTCTCTGTACGTCCCACTGCAACTGCCAACGTCCGCCTCTTACCCCCCGATGCCCCAACGCGCCGTCTCCCCTGCCGGGCTCTTTGTGCGTCCCTCTCCGCCTCCCGCTTGCCCTCTCTGTGTCCTCACCTGGTCTCCCCATGTGTGTCCTGTCTTTCGCTCTCCCACTCGTCCCTCCCTTGCATTCATTGGCACCTCTCCCCTCTTCAAGCTGCTCGAAGCCCTTTTCTTATACCTTGTTTTTTTCAATTGTTTTATAGCCAGTTTTAGAATTCTCAAAAGCGACCTACAAAAAAGAAACCCTTTCCTTACAGCTGACAGTGTGCTGGCTTCCTCCTGTGCCCCTCACCCTCGACTCCCCCTCACCCCTTCAGGTATCAGAGCTCTACCAGATGTCGCTCTATCTCTTCTGCTCCAACCCACTCACCTGCCCACCATCCACTCCCCTCGCCCATTCTTTTGCACCTGACAGCATCCCGCCTTCCTTCTGTCCCCCTCACTCTCTCCTCTCCCTCCTGTCCTGCAGGTGCCATAGCTCTTTCAGATGTCGCTTGATCTTCTGCACCACCGCCACTCACCTGCCCACCATCCACTCCCCACCTCCAAGCTGCATGGATCCCTTACCTTCCTGCTGACAGCATGGTGGATTCCACCTGTGCCTTCTACTCCCCCTCCCCTCCCACAGGTACCAGAGCTCTACCAGATGTCGCTCGACTTCTTCCGCACCACGGCCAGCAACCTGCCCACCATCCACGCACTCGCAGCTGCAGCCGCGCCTGGAGGCACGGCGGGAGCGAGTGAGGCAGTGGAGGGGGAGGTGCAGCAGCTGGAGCGTGTGTGTGCCAGCAACGCCACGGCGCTCTTTGTGGCTCACAGGGCGGGGGCAGGGTCGGTGCTCAAGGCATCTTTTGAGTTCGCTGCACATCCTTTCTTCCCTGTAGTCACTCTCAAGCGTGCTTAGGCTTCAGTGCTGCCCGTACAGCCCGCGCGCGGCCCGTACGGGCTGCGCCAGGTCCGCGCGCGGCCCAGGCAGCCCGCGCGCGGTTCGTCCTGAGCTTCTGACCGCGCCCCACCCCCGCTGCTGCCCGCGCTCCTGTGTTAGGGTTTGGGGGTGGAGAGTATCGGGGTGCCGGGTGTGTGAGCCGTCCCCTGCTCCTCCTCCTCCTCCGTCTCCCACTGCTGCAGCTGCCGCTGAGGGGGGTGGATGTGTTGGAGCCGTCGGAGTGGTACGAGGGGGGTGGCGTGTGAGCAGTGCTAGAGGTGCAGCAGGGAGTGTGTGAAAGGGGTGTGGGACAGTTGGGGGAGGTTGACCGGAGGTAGCCTACTTGTCGTCCGCAGCGCCTGAAGTCCAGAGAGCCACGACCCCCTGTAGCCTGAGTAGTCCGGGGCTCTGCGCCCGGTAGCCACAGTGTGAGCACTCCTGGTAGTCCAGAGAGCCACGACCCCCTGTGGCCTAAGTAGTCCGCAGCTCTGCGTCCGGTAGTCACAGTGTGTGCACTCTTGGGAGCACAGTGAGCTAGCTGCGTCTGTCGCCGTGTAGTCCGGGTTTAGCCTGGTAGCGACAGTGCTGCGCACTCCTGTTGCCTGTGTGTCTGCAGCTTCAGCCGTCGCCTCCCATCTTCTCGCCCTCACAGTTTCTCCTCCTCCTCACTTGCCCTCTGTGACTGCCTCTAGCTTTGCTTATACTTGTGAACTACTGCTCTGCCTGCTTGTTGTGTTGATTATACCCCACTTTGACTATGGGGGTGTGTCAAAATGTAATGTTTGTCTTGCCTGCAATGGGGTACTCTATAGCGAGTACAACCCAATTAGGGTTTCCTATATGTATCTCAACTGCTGCTAGTGAAAACACCTCTTTTCTGTTTCTCGTTTTTGCCTGCTGTTTCGACACTTCACGATGGTCCACCTCCCAAACTCGATATGTTAGGGTTATCTTTTTTTGTAAAAACACTGCTTGGGACTTCATGCATGCCCAAGTTGGCTCATAAGATTTCTAGGCTCTATGATGACCTTCCAAGACTACTCTGCCAGTATCTTAGACTATCCTAACACCAGGATAGGTGGGGTGAGACCTTGCAGAATAGGGCCCAAAATTGGTTATTGGTCATAATGGCCTGGTCCACCTTGATGGCTTAGGGTAGACGTTTTGGTACACTAACAAATACAGGCTAAAAAACGATGTTGCATGACTGTATCAAGGTTACGGTAAGAATTTATCACATTCTTTGTCACAGTAGATACATGTGTACTCAGACATAATATGTTTTTGCCCAAAGCCATAACATTACGTTTAGCGAAGATTGTGTATTCGGGCATAACATGTTTTTGCGTGTTTTGTGTTAAAAAATTATGGCTTCTTGCTTTCCTGGAACCTTCATGAACTTGTGCCCCGAGCCGAGTCGATGTAGTGCACCGCGAATTGCAACACTTCCTTAGCGAATGCCTGCGACTAGGAAGATTGAGGGTTCGAACCATGGCATCGGCGAAAGTGTAGACTGAAGGCATACGCGTTTTTACGGACCCAGTATCAGTGTTACTCAAACGCGACACAGTCTAGTCAGGGAAAAAAAAAGCCGTACATTGATTTCATAAGGGTAAACAAAAAAACTACTATTATAAGAAATGGTATCATTGCAGTTAGACTACATGGATCAGGAATGGCAAAAATAAATTGTAAGAAGGGTATTAACATGTTATTTTGGGCCCAATTGTACAAGGAAAGTGGATTGTGTGATAATTTTAGAAGAAAGAAGAGGGTTGCACTAGCAAGAATGAGGATACAAATAGCAAACCCTAGAAGGGTTGTACTTGCTATAGAGCACCCCACTACAGGCTACAGCATAACATTCTGACACACCCCCATAGCCAAAGTGGGGTGTAATCAGTAGAGCAAGCAAAGCAGTACAAGCTCAGGGTGGATCACAATGTCACCACACATTCTGAGCACAAGTTCAAGAAGCAATAGTTTAAAGTTCACAAATGTAAGCAAAGCTAGAGGCTATCGCAGAGGGCAAGTGTGGAGGAGGAGGGACTATGAGAGGAGAGGAGGTAGTGGGCGGCAGCTGAAGCTGCTGGCGCATGGCGCAACTGGAGCAACTGGCACACGGGCAACTGGAGCAACTGGCACACTGGCAACTGGAGCAACTGACACACGGGCTACTGGAGTAACTGGCTCCGCGGCTAAAAGTAGCGGCAGACGAGCAACGGACTCACGGGCGACTGGAGCAACGGGCTTACTGGCGATTGGCGCAACGGGCTCACGGGCGACTGGCGCAATGGTCTCACGGGCGGCTGGAGTTGCTGGCTTCACGGCGGCCACCCCCTTCAACCTCCCCAAACTATCCCACCCCCATTTCACACACCCCCTACTGCACCCATAGGTTCACTCACACCCCACCCCTTAGCACGACTCCGTCGACTCCCACACACCCACCCCACTCAGCGGCAGCTGCAGCAGTGGGAGACAGAGGAGGAGGAGGAGTAGGGGAGACCACACACCCGCCACCCCCTACTCGCCACCCCCAAACCCTAACACAGGGCAGGGCGGGATGGCGGGTAGGGAGGTTACGGGGGGGGGGGACCGACGTGCGGCCTCCCAGGGCGCCAAAACAGGCGGCAGAAGGGGCGGCGCTCGCCCCCCTCCCCCAGGTCGCCATTCCCGTCGCCTGTCGAGGCGACCCTCGGGGGCCGCGTGCGGCCCGACGGGAAAGGGGGGGGGGGGGGGGGGGGGGGGGGGCGGTGCACGTGCCCTCGGTGCGCCGCGACTGGCGACGAAGCATGGCCGGGGCAAGGCCGGTCCTGGCGCAGCCCGTACGGGCCGTGCGCTGCCAGTACGGGCCGCGCGCAGGCCACGACGGGCAATAGGGGGCGATGCGCGGGTCCTCGTCGCCCGTCGCAATGCCTCCCGAAGGCGACGCGCCGAGGGACGGGGCAGAAGCCCGCCGCGCGCCTCGGGGCGCGCAGCGGGCAGAGAACCGCCGCGCGCCTCGGGGCGCACGGCGGGCAGAAAACCGCCGCGCGCCTCGGGGCGCACGGCGGGACGAAAAACTGCCGCACGCCACGGGGCGTGCGGCACAGAGAGTAGCAGTAGCAGTTGCAGCGGAAGCAACGAGGTGGTGAGCCCACCCACAGGATCGATCCAAGGGGATCGACCTGCTCTGATAGCATGTGAAAATTTAGAAGAAAGAAGAGGGTTGCACTAGCAAGAATGAGGATACAAATAGCAAACCCTAGAAGGGTTGTACTCGCTATAGAGCACCCCACTACAGGCTACAGCATAACATTCTGACAGATTGATCAAACTAAGTGGCATGGTAAGGCAGCACACAATCTCATCATTTATGTGGCAAGATGCCCATTGCAAGTCAAATCACCGCGGTTTCCTAGGAGGTACTAAGCTACCGTATGTGCCACAGAGAGGAGGAGGAAAATATTGCTGAAACTTGCTAATGCTGGTTAGGATAAAATACAAGCAAGGTGTGTTACGTTTCAGTATTTCAACTCTTCTAGCACAGTACTTTGGCAAGCTGCAATTCGGGGTGCATTGCATCGGCTCGGCTCGGGGCATGGGTTCAGAAAGGCTCTCGGGAAGACGAGGCCGTAAAAAAAATACAGGAAACGCGCAAAAACATTATGTGACCTACTATAACCTTGTATAATAACTCAATTGATTATTATCTTGATGCCCGAGTTTGGCCTCCCGTCTGATTCGAGCCTTGCATGCGTCCCGAGCCAATGTAGTGCACCGGCGATTGCAACACGTCCTTATATCGGTATGGCATGCCCTTCTCATATGGGTACGGTATGTTTTTTTTTTTTTTTCCCCTGGGTAGCTGTTAGAGTGAGGATCTTGGATAGGATAGGATTGCCTTAGAGAGGTTTGGTGGCGAAAGACCTGTGGTAGGAACCTTGTGCATAGTGAATGTAAACGGCAAGACCAATTAAAATGATAGATTACATACAATAAATAGATATAACCAGCCATATACTCTAAGGGGTACATTCCCTTATTCTAATTGTTTTACAGACAGTTCTATAGTGACTCTGACCACTGCTCTTCTCTTGTTATCGAGTCGCTGCGTGTAGCTGAATAGACAGTTATCCCTGTTGCCATTCCCCGCTGGTGAGTCATTCGGTCCAGATGGTCAACAGTCGCGACAGTTGACCTTTGCGACTTTTGACCTTTCTCTTTCATAGGCGACGAGCAAAATGAAGCTACCGCGGGACCTTCTAGTATCTACATCCCCAGCGTGATCAGCGCCGACGTAGCTGGTAAGCTGTAGGTTAGCCGTTAAGTTCGTTTTTGTAGGTGAGGCAAATGTCAGGTGTAGAGACAAAATACTGTAAGGCGGTAAGCTGTAGGTTAGCCGTTAATTTTGCTTTGTAGGTGAGGCCGATGTCAGGTGTAGAGACGAAATACTGTTGGGCGCGTCGCAGGTCTGCCATATTCTCCCCTTCAGGTCGGTACAGGTACTGGGCGAGCTGGCTGACGATGTACGATAGGTCCGGGCGGCAGGTAAAGGCGGCGAAGAGTAGACACACAAGCTGCTGCTGATAGAGGGGATGGTCGGCAGTTGAGAGGGGGTTGGTGTCGGGGTCCTGGTTGGGAGGAGAAGGGCGGAACGGAGTGGTGATGCCGACGGGAGCGATGCCGAAACTCTTGGCGAGAGTCTCGGCGTATTTTGCAGCACAGAGACGAATCGTGTCGGCTGTCTAAGTGGCGTTGAGGCCGAGGAATCGGGTGACATCATGATCAATGGTTACCTCGAGTTTTTCTTTAATATCTCGTTCGAAGTGATCAAGCAGCTCCACGTTGCCTCCGGTGTAGAGCAAGTCGTCTACATAGGCGACGAGCAAAATGAAGCTACCGCGGGGTTCGAGGCGGTACATCCCCTAATCGTGGGGAAGCTGCTGGAAGACGAGTTCGATTAGTACGGTGTGGAGGTACTGCTGCCACGGATG